CCATGAATGATGACTTGCTAGTTAAGTTTAAGCTTAGCTAGCAGACCCTAGTCAAGGTTATAGATTTAGGAAATAAACTGCTAACAGTTATCAGACTAGAGAGAATCAGAAAAGGTAAAATAATGAATGATAAACTATTCACATGTGCTGTATGTATCGACATCAGAATTCGAACGATTACTAAAAGCTATATTACTAAGATATTGGAAGGAAGTGGTTTAATAGCGATTACATAACACCAGTGTGCGACCACGTGAAACAGCGGCCAAGATAGGCACTGTGTTTGGCCACAGTGTGGTTGGGAAACGGGACCAAATACAAGAAAAACATCCTCGAATCTTGCTTCGTCTAATCCGTAATACGAAAGAGATGGTACTCTTAATCATGAGACAAGATGTATTGACAAGACTGGTGATTTAATAACGTGTACAATAGTGGTTTGCATATGCTTGTGATTAATGGAAAGCTTCTGAAGAAAAATAATGAACTCCAAAACCCCCTCAGCTGTTAAGGTGAAATGAGAGTAATTATCCGTCAGAGGTAAACATGATTGGTGAAGTTACAAGAAAGGGCGAAGACTAGATAGCCAGTGGAGAGGTTGATGGCGATGGAAAGCAAGGAAAAAGTGTGCCGAAAGGAAACGTGAACCCTGAATTATCTTCAGGGCAGATGGAAGTGAGGAGCCAAATAATAAAGAGACATTAATGATAGATAATAGGAAACCCAAATGGTTTGGTAATGGACCAGTGTAAGTAGTTATAAGTGAAACGACTGATGATAGGCGACGTGTCGAGTTTTGAGCAGTATCAGTCTCGACATGGGCTCTTTGGAATGTTTTGAAAAAAAGTTGAAGACTGTTGAGAGAATAATTGACAGCAAAGGTAAAGAAAATAAAAATAAAAAATAGGAAATAAAAACGACGATTCTATATCACAAAGATAACGAACTTCACACCGTCTTTGTGAGTGCATAAAATGTCAAAAATAAATCAAACACTGTGTGAAATACAGCTCAAGATTCACACAGCAACGAGGCGGGGCACCGAACCATGAGCAGGACATCGTTATCAGCCCATTAAGTTATAACAGATGTCAGTTGCCGCACAGGCTCCTAATACGCCTGCGTCAGCGCCCATTTTTCACTGTTGAACTCTGATCTGAGAGAATGACCATGGACAGCGAGTAGGTCCGCTCATTTCTTGTGTTGAAACATTTTCATGAATATATATGATATATATTTTATTCATACTTATATACTTGACATGTAAGACAGCTGCACTTAGAGTTTACTGTACTTGTGTGCTATACAGTATATCAGGTGTGTTATCCATTATACCATGTGTGTTTTCAAGTGTATCAAATGTGTTACACAGTATACCATGTGTGTTATACGGTATATCAGGTGTATTACATAATGTATTAACACGACTTTAGGAAAATACTAAATTTGGCGTGTTACAGCAAGCGTGTTACAGCAAGCAACTATATCGTACTGCTATAGGTATATACAGTCATAGTTATAGTCAAAATCATTAAACCATTATCTAGCACATCAGGTCTTTACCGTGTAGTAGTCGTTATACAGCATATGGAAAGTTATATAGCAATCACGGTAACTGATACATGTAATTGTTTGAATAATTAATGTAGATTTACATGAACATAAAATTAAAAATGAAAAGGATATAACAACCATTTGAGTGTATACGACTGGTATATCTGATGCATTTTTTATTTTATTTCAGTTTTTAAATATAAGCCGTTCGTAATAACAACCTGTACAGATTATTTTGCTGTTATGTCGTTACTTGTACCTCTGTAATGAAAACAAACATAAACCATTCTGGGTGAAATTGTGTATGGCGTATGTTTTTTTTTTTCTTTCTTTTTTTTTTTTTTGTAAACGATGTCCTGATAACCATAATATTGCTGGCGTGTTCCTCTATTTTATATAAAGATATAACCTTTAGTGCTAAGCTGCTGTCTAAAACACAGCCGAGGTGTTGAGGAAACCTGCTACAAGCCAGACACTAACAGCTTGAGCGCGATGTTGTGAAGGTTAATACCACCACCATTGATCGACGCATAAAGGAATCGAGGTTTGTTTGCGCTGTTTTCAAAGTTTGGCGCTGTGTTCTCGGTTTCTGTGGAGGGAGAGAGGTGAGGGATGTCAAGTTGAAGTCAGTGAGGATGTTGATGGAGTGGTTTTGTTGACGTTCACACGCCATCTGCTGGTCATGGGATGGAAACGATTTTGGTTCTGTTTTGGTTTGATTCGGTTTCGGGTTCTAATTCCAGAAATCATAAACGCACACGCGCGCGCTCACACACACAGATACACGCACACGTACGCGCGCGCGCACACACACACACACACACACACACACACATGTGTGTTATATTGCGTATACGATATTTACCTCCCGAGTAATTATGTAATGTACAAGATATTATGTTATACTATCCATGTTAAATGCACTTGTCGTGTATGTTATGTATGATTTGTTTGAATGTATTTCTGGAAAAAAGCTCTGCCAAAGTGATATATTGCAAATACCTGCAATATTGGTTTCTGGTTGCAGAATAGCATATGGGAATATATAACAGAAAAAAACGTATAACACTGGATACGGCCGCTCTTGCTAAGGGCAGCATACGATGCATAGACTAAGGGTGTATTAATAAAAAGAGAAAGTATGTACACATTATATTTATCTATTTTACTTGTCCCTTCCCACGACTGTCAGAGATCCGCCGACAGTAACAAGGACACTTGTTATGGAGGTACTGTAGTCAAGATGTTAGGGCACTAGAGAGTAAGTTCACCGTCCGAATTAAGAGGATAATGAAGAGAACTATACGTAAGGAAATCTAGCAGGCATCCACAGAGGCAGAGAGACAGGTACATGTACAATACAATTACGTTACAGGTAAATTGTACCTCTTGAAGTTCTGGTGCAAATATCACGCGTAAAGTAGTTGCCAGATACACGTGCGTTATGGAGTAATACGTTCGCTAGGTTTGCTATATGGTTTGTAGCACCAGATAAAACGATGTGGTCTTGGCACGGCTAAATGCGTCAGGTGGATGGAGTTGATAGGCACGGAGTTCTGCTAAAACCGGATCTGCTGGGTGGCCTTAGATCCAGGTTGCGTTACTCTGATGGAGGTTAACGGGGCTGGGTGGGAGGGCGGGGAATGGGGAATGGATGTCTTTGATTTGTTACTTTTTTCCTTTATTTTCAGTCGCTCTTTTTTATCTTTGTTTTTTTCCCTCTCTCTCTCTCTTAGTTAAACCATGTTTGTTGGGACTCTTTTCTTCTATTTGAAAACAGGAAGGCGAAGAGCTACACGTGTTGACCTGTTTCCTTTAAATATTTTTATGCATTTTAAACGACATAATCCTTTGAATTCTTTCTCCTTTCTGGTCTTTAATAAATACTTAAGTAAATAACAGTTACAGTAAAGTCGAAAATGTTGGTAAAGATATAAGAGGAAATAGGAGTTGAGGTCTTTATAAATAGGCCTGATAATCACTCTTTGTTGACTATTGTGATGCTTTATTTTTGTGTAAACGCCCAAAGAATTGATGGAAGTGTATATGAATTTTCTCTATAAGTGTATGAAATGTTTATGGCGGAGAAGAATGATATTACGGCATAAATAGTGTTCAGTAAATGGAAAATGAAATGGTGAGAAAAAGACCCGAAAAAATAACGAAATCTGAGAAATGACAAAAAAGTAACGCTTTCTCGTTTTCGTTCTGTGTCGATAAACGCTAAGGATCATTTTAGCGTCTCTATGTGTAAGAGTTACGCCCTAATATACATATATACCATAAATACCTTTCAACCTTCAACTTCATTAGAGAGAGAACGAAAAAAAAGTAAATAGAAACAACCAGAATTCTGTAGATCTGTATCACGTGTAGTTGTTTATAAAATAGTGGTTGTTTTTACGTCAATTGATAAGCCAATGATTGTAAATAAAGATTGGAAAAGATTGTGAAGAGACGATGTAGTAGGTAGAATGCTGATGTGATTTTATATATGTAAATATGTCTTAGGGTTTGTATGCAACCAATAAAATGTGAAGGATCCGTATTGATGCGTTTTAATCATGCCCCGAATCATTATGATAAAGATTATATGATGTGTATTACCTTGTTGAAATCATTGTAAGGGTGATTGATGATGGACATTGAGTTTGTAATCAGTATGTCACAATCATAATCGACAAGACGAATAGAACAATGATATACAGTGAACCTCGCTATAACGCAGTTCACCTTTCGCGTTCTCGCTGCTTCACGGATTTGCATTATGCATTGTGTTCTGCATTCTGATTGGCTAAGCAGTCTCCCCGCTTCTCTACCTGTGTGTCAATAACGTTACGGTTTAATATGTACATGTACGTAAAACAGCTTGCCAAATTTAAGTTTGCAAATTTTCTCTAAAACTCATAATGTCGACAAAACGTACTGCACCGACAAAGGCACTTGCGGTCGGGCCTAAAATGCAGAGGAAGATGATTGATGATTAAAATTATTATTTTACAGTACAGTAGTTCTTTGTAAAAAAAAAAAAAAAAAAAAAAAAAAAAAACGTTTATACAGTACTATTATTTGTTAAACAAATGCTTGGGCCTGTAAAAAGGTTTTGTTCTTTGGTTTCAATGTATTGTAGAGTATTTCATTGTATAATAATTATAAAAACATAAAGGTTACTACTTCACGGATTTCGCCTATCACGGGTTCTTTTTGGAACGTAACCCCCGCGAAAAACGAGGGTTCACTGTATCTGTCAGAACTTAACCTTTTACCACTATCACGAGTGGTAAAAGTAGTATAACTTGCAGTCATAGAATTATTAAGGGGGATATTTTCACATAGTGATAACACATAGAAGTATTAAAAATGTCTGTCTGCGTTTTGCATGGGCACATACATGCATACTGGCAAACGTGTGTGTGTGTGTGTGTGTAAAGATATATAGTGTTTAT